AGAATATCAAGGAAACATTGTCTATGGGTGGAATGAAGAGTAAGATAGCTTTTAAGAATAAGGGTAAGCCTTATGGGTCTACTAATGGTGGATCTAATATTACTACACCTCATGCCAGTAAGGATTCAAGTAGTAGTAGCCGATTATTTGGCAGCGGATCTCAGGATGGCTCTTTCCGTAAGGATCCCATACCTTTTTGTACTACTTGTTTCACATATCATAGGGTTAAATGTAGAGCAGGTACGCGAGTTTGATTTAGTTGTGGTCAGCTTGGACATTATCGGAAGAATCGCCCTAATTTGAAAACATTATGGATGTCTTATGGGATGACTCGGCAACTTGAGCCTAAAGTTCCGAATAATTCTTATCAGTAGTTTGCACCTTATCCTGCTTATGGGCAGTAGTTCTTTAAGCCCAATCCATATAGAGATCCTCATATTCACCAATTTTCTTAACCTGTTTTTCCTCTAGTTCCACAATCTATTCTGCAATTCATTCAGCATAATACTTCTTAGGGGCAAACCAGTAAGGGGAACCTCTGGTAGCCGAGTTCAGAGTAACCAGTAGGGTCATGGGAATCAGACTCAGAGATCACATGGCAGATGTACTTCTGGTGGTTCGGGAGGTGCACCGCAAAATCAGATGTTTACGGTGAATCGACAGCAGGCGGATGAAGACCCTAATGTGATTACCAGTACATTGAATGCTTTTGGTTATCTTGCTCGGGTTTTAATTGATCCGGGTGCTACTCATTCTTATGTATCTCCTCAATTTGCTCGTATGGCAAATGTTCAACCTTCCCCTCTAGATTATGAATTTGGGCTATCTATCCTTACGGTTGAAACTATTCAAATTAATGAGGAGTTCAGAAATTGTCCAATCTTCGTGGGTGATGTACTCATGAAAGCATATCTTGTACCTCTGCATATGGTTGATTTTAACCTTATCTTAGGTATTAATTGGTTGTTAAGGCATCATGCCCATATTGATTATTTTCGGAAGTTGGTAGTCTTTCATTCTCCTGGAGGACCACTTGTGGAATTTCAAGGTGAACGAAGCATTTTGCCAAATCGTATGGCACCTGCCGAGTTAAGGGAATTAAAGATCCAACTACAAGAACTTTTTGATAAAGGTTTTATCCAACGAGCATCTCTCCTTAGGGTGCTCTGATTCTATTTGTTAAGAAGAAGGATGGTAGTATGCGATTATGCGTTGACTATCATCAATTGAACAAGGTGATGATCAAGAATCGCTACCCTTTATCGAGGATAGATGATTTATTTGATCAACTCAAAAGGGCAAAAGTCTATTCCAAGATTGATTTGAGATCGGGATATCATCAGTTGAAGATCCAAGCTAAGGATATTCTTAAAACTGCATTTCAGACCTGGTACGGCCATTATGAATTTCTTGTCATGCCTTTCGGTTTGACGAATGCTCCTGCAGCTTTCATGGACTTGATGAATAGGGTTCTAACCCTAGATCTAACCTTAAGTTTTTCGGTGTTCTAAATCACGTGATGCCCTCCGTTTGTGCAAATATAAAGCCTAAATAGTTGAATTGGACTATGTTCCATTAAAATGATGATTTAAGCTTATCTTAGCTCATATTGTTATTCACATGGTTGATTGAGGATCGGAAGGATACAGGCAAGGAATCTATTTACGAAGGACGCTTAGCTTACCTGTGAGTTGATCGCTTCGAAAAACTAAAACATTTTTATGATATATATATATGCTTAATATGTGGATGCATATTAATATGTTAGTCTCTAACAAGACTAGTGGCGATATTGATAATATCTTTAGATCATTCATGATTTATTTTCACCATAGGGTCATCATGTGATGAGTTGTATAGCTATCTTCGGTCGTAGATTTATTTACAGGTTGTATTTGTCCTAATGGATGCTAGGGTTGATGATTATTACCGGTATTGAGTTTAACTAGTTGATGCTAGTATATTTCCTACTTGCTATTCTTATGTTAGTGGATGCTAGCTTGACTGATTGACGGAAGGTATGATTTCTGAACTTGACTTGATGGTTTTTCGTTGATATTGATGAATGAGACTTTCCTATTATGATAGTATCATATTATATAGTTTTTGCCATATATGTTTTCAAAATAGGGGTTATTATGTTTAACGATGATTTTATAACTATGATAAAATTGGTCCACTCACATTTTGTTTCATCGACCCCTTAAGGACGTAACGAGACTAAAGAGAACATCGGTGGGGATGAGCGGGCTTGGCAGTTAGGCTTTCATCCTCTGGATTTTGGGTGATGGCTCCATTACTGCAATTTTATAGTTGTAATAATATTTGCATGATCGTACTTTTGATTATGCATAGCACTGCACTTTGTTGTATTTATTGTTGTGTGAAACTTCTAACTGCTCTAATGTGATGTGATTAATAACGAGGTTAAACCCGAGATAATTTGTGTCCCCAAGTGGGGAGGATGATAAGTACTTATGTAGCAGCTTTGGTTTATTATTTCAATAAACATCTTTTGGTTCAAATTCTTATACATCATACATATCTTACTATGGCTTCGTCATTAAGTTGGCTTGTGATGTCATATTCAAATGGGGGTCATATAGTCAATTTAGTGTCTGTCAGCACATCACGACCTCGTAACTTGTGTTATTAGGGTTGAGGTGTGTCACCCAGCAAGTGAGTTTGGACCGAGGCAAGGACCGACAGCAGAAGCCTAACAAGTACACTTAAAGCAATGGCTTAGCGCGGTAGGAGCGGCATAACTCCAAGCGTAGCTCGGCTAGGCTCAGAGGCAGCTTCAGGCGCAACGCGGTTCGACAACGTAGCTTTAGGAATAATGCAATTCGGGTTCAACGCAACTCACAATTATGGTAAAACCCTAGTTTTTGCTTATATTTAGTTTTTTTCTTTGTACTCACACAATTCAACAATATCTAATAACATAATAAAAAATTGCATATGCATGAACAATATGTATATTTGAGCAATTTATGCAGTATAGGAAATATATAAAACATAGATAAATTGTTTTGGGGGGAGGGGGTTTATGCATCATGGTGAATATTTTCATGCTACAAGGGCTTACAAAATATTGATTCCGTGTTTTAGAATAACCTGGATTGGATGAAAATGATGAAAGCCATTGAATGCTAGTTGTAGAAGGTTTGTCTCCAAAATCCAAATTTCATCTCCAATGCGTTGTATTACAACCGACAAAAACATTGAAAGAAAGAGTAATTAAATTAATAGCAAGTAGATCAATTCAATAAAATAATAAGTGAATCATAATAAGAATGATTAAAATGTAATACTCCCCTAAATTAAAGATAATCAAACTCTAGGGCAACGTCAAGATCGTGTTGTTAATAAGCCTTTTTCATTGAAGGAAAGGAGAGGGAGAGGGCCATCGGCAGACAAAGAGAAAGGAGAGAACATGTGAATTTTGTGGTGTGATTTCTCACCCTCATTGTGCCTTTATTTGTAGTAGTAAGGAGGGATAATCCTTTTCATTCATGTAATACATTACAACTAGAAAACTATCTAAAAGACATTATGGAATCCTACACATAAGGTATTAGGATTTACACAATCGCACTCCTAATGAAATTTGGACAACAGCTAATCTTGATTTTGCAAATGATTGTTGTTTTTTCCAGCTCTTAATCTAATAAAGCTGCTAAACGCTTAAATTGATTGTGTTAATGATGCTTGCTCTATTCCTTGGAAAATTGGTTTGCTACGTGGGGACATCCATAAACTTTTCCAAAATTTTGTGTGTATTAGTGTTGTTCATGTTTATCATGAGGCCAACTTTGTGGTTAATATAGTGTGTTTAGCTTGATTTTGTCCCTAGTAGTGTAAGGAATGTTGTACACTTTGTTGTACCCTTTAGTGTTTATAGAGATAAAACTTGCATAAGGCATTGTGTAATTTGACCGGAACGTCACACTATCGGTGAGCCTGCTCTGTTGCATCCTCCTATTAAACATGCACCGATTAGACCCCAAAATATATTTAAGATGAAGAAAAAAATTTAAAGCGTTAGTTGAAAATTAGGTTGGATTGACAAAATTTTAGGGTAACATAAAAGTGCCACAATGTTAGCAAAGGACACTTTAGATACTTTTTGCTAGCTCCCTAGGAGTTCATAGGAGATGCTCTAAAACATGTAAAATTTGACAAAATTTGAACTCCTCAAAGTATGTTCTAACTCTAAATTCTTCAATAGGATATAGTTTAGGCTTATTTTTAGTTACGTCCCCTGAAACTTCATTTTGATCTCACTTAGCCCCCTGTAATTCAAAAGTCACCACTTTACTCCATGAAATTCAAAATTCATAGGTCACCTCGTACAAAATGTGAGACCCAACAACCATGAGACTATGTCATATGTACAATAAATTTGATTATAAATCTTCATTATGCGTTAATATTCAGCAATCAGAGAACATTAAGTTTAAAAGAAATTGAAGAGATGAAAAAAAAAATTTGATAAGCCTGGCACATCCAAATCAAATCCACATAAGAAATTAGCAGATCTAAGGCAACGTAGAGCCAATTTAGAGTTTTATAGAGACGACCTTCAAATTTCAAGAGGCAAAATAGGATCAAAATCGAGTTCTAAGGACAACATGAAGCAAACGAGTTTCAGAGAGTAAATTAATGACTTTTAATTACAGAGAACAAAGTGAGACTAAAATCGAGTTCAAAGGAGCTTAACTAAAAATAAACCTATAGTTTAATAAGTGAAAAATATAGTGTCAATTTCTTTGAGCTCTTACATGTTTCGTATTCTTGATAATCTCTGTTCATGTTCTTGGAACGGCCACAAAAGAATTTGGAGAGCAAGTCAAGAACAAAAATATAGTACCCGAGTTTTCAGCCTCTTTGGGTATGTGGTAATCTATATGATGGTGACAGAGGATTTCTGATGCTTTACAGAGGTTTCTATAGGGCCTGGGACGTTTTATGAACAAGAACAAAGACCACAATTGAAAAACTCACCCATCATGTCTCATAGGCATGGTCCGTGTGAAAGCTCGGTCCAAATCTTTTAAATCCAAAACAAACTGAATAACTATTAAGTACTTGGTAATATCAAAGTGACAGATATAGGATAGACGAAAGAAAATTACGAGCGGGGGCCATCAAGCATGGCCAATCAATCCTTACAAAACCTTCAAATTAAACAAACACGTCCTATCTCTGACTCTACTCCGCAATAAGTAGACAACAGAACAGTGGCTTAACGCTTGCCGCCACCACCACCAAGCTTTGGTCCCTTGGGTGCACCTCCCTTGGGAATGCTGCCCTTGCCTTGAGTCTTCTGAGATTTCGTTACTTCTGCCTTCTTGGCCTTCTTCTCATCTTTGGTCTTCTTGATTCTTTCCTTAATTTCACTACACAAGACATCCAGACATTAAATCAAACGATGAATCACAAAAGGTTGACATAAAAACATTGAAACTGAACAAGATGAATGATAAAGTGAATCAAGGCTACAAGAATAGACAAGAACACTAACCGAAGTGCAGCTTCACGTGCAGCATCACGAACTTCTGGCTTCTCAGTTCTTCTCTTCTGGATAACCTCCAGGGTAGCACCGACAATAGACCTTGAGTAAGGTTTCTTGGTGGCACGTCTCCTCTTCTTCACAGCTTCTTGAGCAATATCCTAATTATGTCAAGAAAGCATCTGCAATTAATACAATATACAAAACAGACACTCGGCTGCCAGCTACTTCATACAACTACGAGATACAAACAACAGACTGCTAGGCTGCCAGCTACTTCATACTAAAAGAATGGCTTCTATGGGACAGTTTAAGAGGCTAAATTTATCATGAAAGATTGATCACAAGGAGATTAGCAGAAAAAGATTTATACAGATTATAAGGGAATATAACTAATGTATGATCAAAACAGATGATCAAAACCAAATCAATTTCCCGGAGTTTTAATCGCTTCTTATATCTAATGTAACTAATCAGGACATTTCTAAGATAACTATATCGATTGGGAGGGAGTATTGGCATCTAAGATTTAATATATCAAGTGAAAAGTGCATGTCTACCTTTTTGTGCTGCTTCCTGTACATGGCTGTCCAGGTAAGCTTTGACGGCTTCAGCTTGTTGTGAAAGTACCTTTTGCATTTGGAGTTGGCAAAAAGGAACACCTGAAAGACCACGACAGGTTATAAAAAAAAGGAAGAAATAACAACATTTTTCAAATGACAATTTCAATATATAATCTGATACAAAGTAAATTAACCTCAGATTTAATATGACTGCTTACCTGAGAATCAGAACGAATAAATCTGATGCCTCTTCCTGGGTATATCTTGTCACCACTGAAACGACAGAGTTCCGTCCTGACAAGCGACACGAAAATATCTTATAAGCGGAATCAAATGTTCGTGGCTCAAACAGAACCACACAAGGGCAAGAAATAGAGAAGAAAACTACGTAAGCCTAAAACCCCAAACCATTCACATACGTCTACCTCCCATTAAATCTCCACACAACTACCAGAATAGATTATCACCGAATAGGCAAACATAGAAATATCATTGATAGAAACTAGAACATGTACACATCTCTGCCTACAAACGCGGATCAACAGCCTTTAACTATACGAGCACCTCACAACACTTTCCAATAACAAAAAACCCCAACATTCCCTGAGACTAGAAAATATAATTACCGAACATTCCCTCACACCAACAAGTTGAAAACTCACTGGATTTAGTTCTATCTGTAACCTATGTGAACCATGAAATGGCATCCACCTAAACACGATTTCCACAATTTCATACAAACAATTTGCTAAAATCCCTAACCTTTCACACAGATTCAAACAGTAAAAATCCAACACTTATTTATTGGGTTTCGACCATTGTTTCTAGCAATATTTCACAGATGTTCACATTCAACAAAAACAAAAAGCACTTTTCACCCAGAAAAGCACAAGCACGCACCAAACAGAGCATGTAAACAGCTTATTGCAAAAGCATAATCCAAAATCTAAATAGGAAATAGAGGATTCTCATCGGTTATTGTATGTAGAAAAATTTAAGAACCGCAAATGAAACCATCTCGATATCAGATCTCGACGAGAGAGAGAAGCATACTTGAGAACCATGGCTGCTGCCTCCTGCTGTTGTGCGTTGATGGAGCGGAAACCCTAGAAGCAGATTTGCTTATTACGCGGCTGAGTGTATCGGCCTTCTTAATATATAACCCTACTATCTCACCAAAAACCACGCAAGTAACACTGGGCCGTTGTATTTTGTTGTCTTTTTCGGCCCAAGACTACTTTCTGTTGGTGGGCCGGATGATATGGCTTATTTCTAATCAAATTGGACTTATTACACAGCCCATGTTTATGAGAAAAATTGTAACACAAAATGGATTGGTTACAAATCCGAAATAGGGTTACTGGTCCCGTTTCAGCGATCCTCTTCTTCGTCTGTGTGCAATTTCTTTTTCTTCATCGTGCGATCTTTTTTCTTCAATTTGGCCTTTGATATTCTGTTCGATTCGTCGTTGCTCTTCTTCTTCATTTCAACGACCATTTTTGGCGAGCTTGTCTTTGATCTAGGTCGTACAACAAGGATAGGTGTCGGCTATCTCAATCAGCGTCGCACAGTGGTCGTGGAGGGGTCATCGTAATCGCGTCGGAGCATCTTCAGTTTGGGTTGCCGGTCATAAATGTTGCTTCACTATTCCTTAGTCCTTCATGCATACTTTTCCTATTACAGTCTAATAATATTACTCTTCGTTTGTAAGTCGGAGGTATAAATTCGACTCACATAAAGGCGAAAAACGTATAGTTATGTTACGTTCAATACCTAGTTAGTGGTTGGGTCCTTTGTGTGGCCTAACCTAATAAATCACCTAGAATATCCCTCCCTTGAGGATATAATATCGTTGTATAAAAATAAGCTTATTTTTGTAATGCCCCCTAGACTCGACTTCAATCTTGTTTTTTGTCTAAAACTCAAATTTCACCAATTAACCACTTGGAATTCACTTTTCCTTTCACTTTATCTGAATTCTGTCAATTTTGTCAAAAAGATGTCAAATTGCTTATGTAGCAATACAAGTAGGACCCCATCACTCCAATAATAAAGAATTCCATGCTCCATTTATCCTAGAATGTCATGTATTACAGACTAAACTACTTTGATGCCATTAGACATGGTTTAAGGGATTTGGAGAAAGTTGAGGTTTCTTATAAAACCAATTGGCAATATGGAGAGTAACCTAATTTATAAGCACAGCCTAATTTATAAGCACATACAAAGTCCCTCTTTTCTTGATGTGGGATTCACCCTTAACATACCCCCTCACATGTTGCGAAAAACACATGAACAACACAAATCAAGGGACGTGGAACAAGTGTTGCCCGTTGGACTCCACACATGAGACAACATGCTCTGGTACCATGAAGAAAGTTAAGGTTTCACCATAAAACTAATTGGTAGTATGGGAGTTGCACAATCTCAAGCACATGTACGGTTCCTCATTTTCCTGATGTAGGATTCACTCTAAACAGGATTTAAGTTAATTTATATAAAATGAGCTTTACCTATAGGGATAAAAACACAAAAATCATTTCATAGAACTCTACTAGTTTTGAACCATTTCAAGGGGAGACAAAAACTCAAACCTCAACAAACCTAACCCAAAAACAAGCAAACAAAAAATTTAAATTCCAGTATGCCTACAATATGCTCGTTACTGACACCATCTATAAAAAATTTAAACTGATTATAGATTCATAAAAACTAATTTTCAAATTTTTTTGGACATCTGCAAGATCGATTTCAAAATTCATGCACTTCTACCAGATTAGTTTCAAAATTCTAGCAATTCTATAGGACCATGATTTCTAGGCCTTGGCATGTGGCACCTTGAGTGGCAAGAATGACCAGAATACCCATAGATCATAACTCTCAAACGATCAAACTTAGCTTTAGTCAAATGATCAGACTTAGCTTTAGTCAAACGGTCAGACATAGCCTTAAGTCTGATATCTATTTTACTTATCTCCCAAGTGAGGAACATTTAATTCAAGTCAAGTTAGGATAACTTAGGGATTAGGCAAGTAATCATAATCTTAGGAAGATTGGATATCTTATCCCAGATTCCCACCTAGGTAGTCTCTCAATTTAAGAATGATATTTTGCCGCCCCATAGTTTTGCTCCCCAGGCACATTATATTTTCACCCACTATAAAAAGTTTAAAAAATCGAATACTTTTCCCACCCACTTATATTCCTAAAATATCCCTAATTGTTTTAAGTTCTAAATATAATAAATATAAAGCATTATTTGAATCTTGGAGATTTTAGAAAAATATAACAACCACAAACATCCCTGCGCAATCCAGCCGAAAGTAACCACAACCAAGCACCACATATGACAGCAGCAACTTCTTTTCTCTTTGTCGCTGAGAAAGTTATTACCTTCGTTTCATTTTCTTCCCCTTTCTCCATTCCTCTCTATCTATTTCTTTCTCGTCCTACGAGATCTGGATTTTAAGATTCATATTTATATTTATTCCCAAATTCCAATTCAAAATTACAAGTTGAAAAGTAACGAGAAAAGAAGAGAGAGAGTTTGGTGTGTGTGGGGTGGATGGAAGAAATAGAAGATGGAGGCGGACAAAGAGTTTAAAAGGGGCAAAAGATGAAGAGAAAAAATGGGGAGGTTGTTGGACAACTTAATTCATTTCTCATTTTAAGTTTTTAATTTTTTTTTCTATTGTTTTTTTTTCTTTTACTACAAAGAATATATAAGAGGATTTTTAACAAGACTATATTAAAGTTTTCATTAAAAATTGGGTGGGAAAATAAGACTATGAGGTGGGGCATATCAGCACTTCGATTTATTTGGGACTTACGCTCCAAACAAGGATTCTCAAGATCTATAAAATACCCTAGCCTGGTACTATCTCTCTACATTTCTTTTGATCCAAGACTCTCTACCAATAATCGTCACATATTCTCTTTTACACGCCTGTTCGCCTACAAGTAGACATGGGGAAGCATCATGATGTTGTAACAACCACACCACTAGTTTTCTAGAACTACATCAATTATTCAATCCTTCTTCCTAAAGATATGAAGGTAGTCCGATATGGATTCAATCACACTCCCAATCAATCTTATTCTCCCATTGCCAGTGGTCGTGGAGGGGTCATCGTAATCGCGTCAGAGCATCTTCAGTTTGGGTTGCCGGTCATAAATGTTGCTTCACTATTCCGTAGTCCTTCATGCATTCTTTTCCTATTACAGTCTAATAATATTACTCTTCATTTGTAAGTCGGAGGTATAAATTCGACTCACATAAAGGCGAAAAACGTATTATAGTTATGTTACGTTCAATACCTAGTTAGTGGTTGGGCCCTTTGTGAATGAAATTTTGTGAAAAACATGTTCATTTAAGCAACATCTATAGCATGCAATTAACAAATTAAAGGCGGAATCATGCTTATATGCACTTAAAAACAAAACATTAACCATGAAATTCAAAGCCTAGTAGATTGGTGAACCTTGACTCAACTTAAAACAACATTTGTTAGTTGAGAAATTATACCTTTGTAGATTCCTCTTTGCATAAGCAAAGGCTAATCACCCAAAGAGAGGGCTTTCATTCCTTGCATCTTAGATCTATGGATTTGGATGGATGAAATGGTTCTCCAAGTTCCTAAAATTGAGAACCTCTAAGTCTCTTCACCAAGGTTAGATTGGAGAAGAAATGAGTGACCTTGGAGTAGTAGGATTGCTAGCTAAACCCTCTAAGGAGGCCAGCCACTTTAGAGAGAAATGAGAGCTTATGTTCTCATCCTTTCCCCAAAAGAAAAACCCTAAATGAATTTTGGCTATAAAGTCATATTTATACCTTAATTCATTGGAGTGGCAAACTTGTAAATAAGTCCAAAACTCACTACATCTCTAAATGGCCAGCCTTAGGGTATTATTGGGCTAATTGGGCCTTTGTGAATCATTATTCATTAAGTTGTCATACAACTTAATTCAATGGGCTTGACGTTCGAAGCCCATTGGGCCTTAAGGTCCAAAACTATCCCGAGATCTTTAACGAACTTATTCGTTTGATTAATTAACATATTAATTAATCATTGCCATAAATAATTAAACCATTTAATTATTCTTACTCTTCTCCATTGTTTCTTCAATCTCCACCTTACACGGTGTCGATCCATTAGGTTCCTTTTAGCGAGGCAGTGGGCGATTAAAACCATTTCAAATCGATTGTGAATTAAAACTTACTTTCAATTCTCCCTTTAGTGATTATACACGTTTAGGGCTTCCACAAACCATGAGTGACACCTAGCAGCATATCATGGTTACCCAAGCTAATCAGAAGAGGTGGAGAACCTATTCAGTTTAGGATTACAAATGCAATACGGTATTTCTCTAATACAATACTCTTGACCACATTGTTTGGTTTGATAGTTTATTCATGTCTACTATCCAATGTGATTCGTGTGCTTATATGATTACCTTGAATGTGATTTGGAACGACTTCCTAAATCTCATTCATACTCTGGTCAGAGATTCTTAATCATATCATAGAGTATTCTCCCCCAAACGGTTTGAAGGTTAGAGATCCCTTGTTGCGCATTCACTTGCCTCCATGGCTAAGTGGCTTAACCCCAACTATGCCGTGGACACCTGCGAATGGAGTGACTTTGACATAATCAAAGATCAAGGACCTAACCACAAGACAACTATGATGCCTCAGGTCAAAGGACTACTTTGCATTATCCCAACCTTGAGTTCTCATGTGACATGAGTATGAGAACTCTTCGTTGATCGTGTTCAGTGAACTCATTCCTTATTGAGCACCTACGTACTTGTCTTGGTGTCAGTCACACCAATGACTCGAGACCAGTCACTCTCACTAAGAGAAGACATAGCACATACTGATCTTAACGGACTGTCAATGCCCAATTGGCAATCCTATGATCAGGAACGTTTAGGATATGTATACAAAAGAATGGTCTCATGAATCTAACTTCTTTAGATCGCATTCTCCCAATCACATATTCCTTGGACTTATCATTTAAGCGTTTAACATTTATATGAGACGGCTTAAACAATAATCTTTGTTCTTGATATTAAACTAGATTAGTTTAACATGTGAAATGTTCGTAAAGTTATCATATGATTGGTTTGAGGGCACATTTCCAACAATCTCCCACTTGCACTAGAGCCAATCAGCTTGGTCATCA